TATATATATATATATATATATATATATATATATATATATATATATATATATATATATATATATATATATATATATATATATATATATATATATATATATATATATATATATATATATATATATATATATATATAGACGTGTTTTAACGATAATTCTAGTAAATAATGTAAATAAAGTATATGATTGGTTCGAAGAGCGCCTAGAGATTCAGTCGATTGTGGATGATATAACGAGTAAATATGTTCCTTCCCACATCATTATTTTTTACTCTTTAGGTGGAATTGATTCAATTGCTAGTACCTAGACTTTGGTTCTTGTGTTTTAACGATAATTCTATTTCGTCAGATATGATTTGTCGTCTCTAAAACACAAATATAGATTGGAAACTATGACTAATACTTAATAATTATTCACTATTTAGATCAGACCTCGTGCTGGGGTTCAAAAACATTTGGACACTACATATAATAAAAAAAATGATATTTTTTTCGCAAAAATTATATAAGTGAAAATAAAAAGGTTCTTACTCAAGGAATCCTGACTTGCATTTCGGTTTTTTATTGAATCATCAATCATCGTGATTCAAAATTAAGAATCTGCGGTTTTTTTCAAGTCATAGGGTCTTAACGAAGTAATTTCTATCAAATAAAATAAATGAAAAAAAAATGGTAGGGAAAGAGCAAATTCAAAACGCCCGTCAAAATCAAGAAAATGACGAAGGAGCTAACTTGATATTTTGGTAATAGTGCGACAACAATAATAAATAATTGATCAATTTAGATTTTTATTGAAATTGCGAGATTAATGAGTTTCAATCGGAATTTCAATTCAATTTCATTTGGTATTGGGGCATTTTTGCTTGAGCTGTACGAGATGAAAATTTCCTATACAATTTTGAGAGGAGGATTCAACCTATCTCAATAATGTAAATAAAGTATATGATTGGTTCGAAGAGCGCCTACAGATTCAGGCGATTGCGGATGATTGATATAACGAGTAAATATGTTCCTCCCCACGTCAATATATATATATATATATATATATATATATATATATATATATATATATATATATATATATATATATATATATATATATATATATATATATATATATATATATATATATATATATATATATATATATATATATATATATTTATATATATATATATATATATATATATATATATATATATATATATAAATTTTTTATTAACTAGTTTGAAGGTACACGTTTGGGGAGGACATGACCAATGCCCCAAAAGTAAGACAAATAGCAAAATTACAGACAGAATGACGTAAGGGAAAAACAAAAAGAGCTTCGCAAGTCATGTGGCTCCATCTTCATTGGCGTTTTGATTCCTCCGAGCCATATTCAGACATAATTGGAGTCCCTGTGCTGTGAGTGTCTCATCTCTGATCATCCAAGCTTTTTTCCTGTACTTCCAGCACCAAGAATTGATCATTGCCTTGATGTCCATTGTGATTGAGAAGAGGTTTACCGCTTCATTTCCGAAGGCCGTGGCTGCATACTGTTTCCAGGTACACCAAGCAATCACTCCTGGGAGTATGTTTCTAGGATTGCCCTTAATTGTGTTAGCTTGAGATCTCAGCTGCCATTCCATCAGGTATTGATTTAAGCTAATCTCCTCCCTCAGTCTTGGTCCATCTAATATAGTTGCATAAAAGCTCCAAATGTTCTTGATTTCATCACATTGTAGTAGGCAGTGGTTCATATTAGCTTCATTCTTCTTGCAGAAGGGACATTGAGAAGGCATGTGAACTTGGAATCTGATTAAATTTTCTGGGAAAGGTAAGATCTCATTAGTTATTTTCCACAAGAAAAATCTCACCTTTGGAATTTGTAGGTTGCTCCAGTTCAACTTGTCCCTTAAGGATATAACCCCTGAATTCCTGCAGCATTCATAGGCCTCTTTTAAGGGAATA